AATGAAAATAAATAAATAATTAAATTGTGTCTGTGCCAGTCTCAAACCCTGGTCTCCCACTCTCTGGTCCAACACTCTACCCATTGTCCTATTGGAGGCTTGTTATGAAATGAGCTGCACATTGCACAACAACAACCGTGACGGCTTTTTATACTGAGGAGGTGGAGCCTCACCCGAGGGTTGCTAGGTGAGGGGCTGAACGCAGGTTCTGGTGGGTTGTCGTACGGCTTGTGACATCACAAAATGTAGGAAGTATAAAACTTGTTGTTAATATGCATTAAAAATACATTTAATTACTGTAAATATGCCCTTGGGTGCATTTTTTTGGTCCTAGGACTGTTTTTTTAGAAGTACATACCCAAAGTTGAGTAAAAAAACCTTTCAAAAGTGAATTTTGCATAATGGGTCCCCTTTAACATGTTTAATATCATGTTTCATGAAACAAGAAAAATTAGAAATGGTAAAAAGGTAATGCCACAGATTTGTTTGCTTTATCGTAATCTGTGCTTTAAGTATATCTGAATTTGTTTATTATAAAGCAGATTTGATTTATTTCTTCTCTTTGTTGAAAAATACTTGAGAAGACATAAAAAATAATCGCATAATAAATTGCAATCGGAATTTATAGATAAAAAAATCGCAATTAGATTATTTTCCAAAATCGTTCAGCCCTACTTTGGTCAGGTTGTAAAAACCTTGGAATCGTCTCAGAGACTAAATGTTGAGGGGAACTCAGTCTGGACAGACGAGASGTTTCTCTACTCTGATGAGCAAGAGGTGTTTTTAATTAAAACACGTCACTCTTATCACTCGCTCACAAAGGCAGACAGGTTTTAGCCTGCATTTGTGTGTGCATAACAATTAGCCTGTTGGCAAAATACTTCATGATCCAGGGGACAGATTTTAATGAAACGCTCAGAAAGTGATCATATAAGTATATAACTACTGCATTTGGAGTCAGCCCCTTTTAAAATAGCTGCTGCAGTAAATCAATCTTAGCAAAACAAAAAAGGCTCCAACGCTGAAGTTTTCACTGTTGTTGAGCTAAAGTTTGGTGTTGCACTCTGAGCTGAGATCTGTTTTTAAAACTTTGCCATTAACTTTACCAGTCGACTGTCTGTTAACAAAACATATCTGCAACCACATGATCAGTTTTAATGAAACATTTAGAAAGTAATCACTGGATATTCATCAGTCACTAACTTTTGTTAGTGAAAACTATTCAAGATGGCCACTAAAGCTAACTGATCTGAGGAAACAGAACGGGCTGTATCTCAGCCAGTTTGACTAATTTTAAGCTAAAATCTGGTGTGTTCGTAATGGAGAGTCAACCTTGACATTTACTCAGCGTGCTATAAGTTGTGCAACACCTTCAGTTTTAAATGTTATCATGAACCCTGCCTGTCTGTCAGAATAATACCTCCTGCACTGCAAAAACTGTCCTTCTAACCAAGTTTTAAAATCTTATATCAGCCAAAAAGTCTTTTTGATCTTTTTTTTGAGACTGATTTACTAAACAAGAACTGATTGTGTAAGAATAATCATCTTGTTTTCAGAATGTGTAAGATTATTTGTCTTGTTAGTCTGAAAATTTGACTCAAATTAAGTCAAAAATTTCTGCCAATGAAGAAAATTTTACTTGGTAAGATTCTTCCCCCATGTCTTAACAGTATACTGACCAGGTTTGAAGCCGATAGGTCAAAATCCCTAGGACAAGTTCGCAAAAGTTCGATGTGAGCGAAAGTGAAACTTAAGGAAAATTTGACCTTTGACCCAAAATGGCCGACTTCCTGTACATTTTAGGGAATACCTCTAAGAGACTTTTTCAAATATTTTGGGGAGTTCTACCTACGTGCTGAAATTCAGCTCTCTAGGACTTACCAGTTCCTCTTTCTCACTTTAGGTGGCGCTGTCTAGGCGTTTGGCCACGCCCACTTTTGATTCCAATGAAATCATGCTTTTCACACGGGGGACAGCTTTTGGCCAAGCTTGGTGAGTTTTTGAATATGTTAAGGCCTCCAAAAAGCCGACGAAAGTGGCAGAAAAAGAAGAATAACTAGACATGGGTTTTTACGATGTAAAAAACAAGTGTGCATTGCCCTGTAGCATGTTATTGCAGCATGGCTTTGCCTGCAGCATTGGACTTGCAGAATGAACTTTGACCAAGTTCAAATGTGTTTTCTACACCAGCTTGTGCCTGTCACGTCAGCAGGTGTTTGTAATTAAGGTAATTGTGTGACAATATGAAGTTTGAAGAGATTTTTTGTTAAAGTTGCATTAGCTGGGTTTTGAAACCTGATCTCCCACATGAAAGTCCATGACATAGACCATTAGACTGTTAGAGCTGTGGCAGGGGGTGGTGCAAGGGGTTGATTTGTATGTGAGCAGAAAGAGGCCACATTGTCAATGCAATCTTTGACATTAAACTGCAATATATT